AGCAAATAATTTGTCTTCCTTGTGTCAGTTATGTATATGTTTTTCTGTGTCTAGGTTTGGTTGTATTGTCTTCCATTTTTTGTTGCCCTGTTCATTACCACTACTGCCTGTCACAAGGGGTGTAAAGACCACAAAAAACTATGGACCATCTCGCCGAAGGGAACCCTGGTGGGATGCTGAGCAGCAGCGGTGCGCACGACGTTGACCCGGTTGAAACGTGCGTCGACGCGGGTGCTGGAAGAACGGTTTCAAGCAAAACTAAGTTTAGCGTTTACTGGAGTAAATATTTGAAATGCAAAGGTATGGGAGGCGGGACGCATTCAAGACGCTTGCGCTCGGCTTCTTTCGTTCCCGTCTCGTCGGTGTTACCCGCGCGCCGTCTGTATTCTTGAACGGGATTGGTGTTCTTCACTGGCACCTTGTCGGTGTCACTGGTCTTCCACTGCCAAAGTTTGCGTTCGGCTTCCCTGGCTCTCGCCTCATCGGTGTTGATGTCGCCATTGGCAAATGCGATCGGCTTTGCTAACCCTCGCGACGCCGGCGGCAGCCAGGAAAGGTACGCCCACACTAGCGGGAAGCATGGCGTGAAGGCGTCGCCGCCTGTCGACACGATCACGCAGCAAGCAGCGGCATGCTGTCCACAGTGTCGGCGCCGCCAGATTCTCGAGGCGCACGCAGCGCACACCCGCAGGCTCGTGGCTTCTTCTCGTCGACAGATGGAGAGAGGTGGCATGGATGATATGATGCCCACGTGAGGAGTTGACTCGAGCGTTTTGAGCGGTGGAGAGGGTGAAGCGAGAGAGATGATACGCAGTGAGCGGTGACAGGCTAGGGAGAGTGACGTCATGCGGGCGTGCTGTGAGGGAAGGCGTGGCCTACTTGGCACAACCCCAACACTTGTGGCCAGGGGAGTGCGGTGCGGATGAAGGGACAGAGTTACACAGGCTAGTCAGAGAGCTGCTTCACGTCTAAAAGTTAGCAGCATTTGTTAGCTTTTGTTCATAGCTCTATAGAGAGGTTTGCTTCAGCTACGAAAATTGTGCACTACTGCTTAGAAATCAGCATACCTTGGTGGCAAGGGCCATGTCTCTTGCACTTTTACAACACTGTCATAACAAAGCATTGACATTTGAAGCCGTGCCCAGCTTTGATGTTGCGATGCTTCATCGTACATTTACTCTACACAATTGTACACACAGTCACTGATTGCCGATACTGTAGTGTCTGGAATGAGCAATTAAATAGCTGCTTTTCCTTCTTAAGCTGTGATAGTAGCTTCTTTTGTTGAACTTTATGCACTTGACTGCGCGATTTTGCAGTGTATCTATATTCTAATGCATACAGAAACTTCCAGCGGGATTGCATAACAGCAATGAAAAACACTCTTGTCATAGCTTGGTGACAGAGCTTTGTAGATTCTAGAGTTCACAGAAGCACGTTAGCTGCTACGACTTTTGTACAAGCATGTCACTCGACAAAATGCGACATAACTTAATGCGATACTAAAGCGAAAAAATGATTTGGTTTAGATTGATAAACTGTATTCTGAGAATTTTGTCGCAAGTTTAATTATCTTTAGTTAATTGTTAGTGGAAAAAATCAAGGTTGAAGTTTCATTTTTAAATTTTGTGCCGAGAGCTCTATGCGTTACGTCAGTAATTTCAATATGTATCTTTCGCATTTTTGCAACATGGGCTCGAAATTCTGTGCAGCTTGATATGTCAAGTCTATGGCACCTACAGATGACAATATACTTCAATTTTACCGACTAGGAACACAGGACGAGTAAATGCTGTCAAAATTTTCTACCTCATGGTGTTTGGTGCTAGAGGCTCAAGGTGGCATTCTACCCACATTTTATTTTCATGCATTTTCTCTTACCAAGTGTCATGTTGTGGTAAGAGTGGTGTTTTCAGGATCATCTTTCTCTTTAGTGCTCCCTTTAAAAGGCCTTACTTCTGCACGTCGAAGCTGAAATCACTTGGCGGGAAAAGCAAAAAGAAAAAAAAAATGTGCACATTTTGGAATTGTGCATGATTAATTTTGAGCATTTGAATGTTGATAATTCTGAAAGGAATACATAAATTGTGAATTCCTTTTAATGGGGGATACTGAATAAAAATATAAGACAGAGAAGCATTGAAATTCAATTCTGAAGATGTGACTGCTCTGAAACGGTATTTATTCTGTACAACTTAAGGTAGGTGGGTGCATTTTTGAGGCATTGTGAGTGCGCAGGTACTGCAAGGCAGCATGTGCAAGGCCATGCTCCGATGGTTTTGACATGTGTGCCGGTAGGGGGCAGCTAGCGCTTGCCCCAGTAGCGGCACCACCAGCGCGACATCTTCAGTCTTCCGTGCTGCCATTGGCTGTGGCTGTATGACTGCGCAACTGTGGGATGTGTGTCAGAGGTCATGAGCACTGTTGGCATGCCAGTTTTAGGCGAATGAACATCCCATATTTTAGTCCAGGATGTAATAGTTTGTGGAAAACACATTAAATTTATTGTTCACTTCTAGTTTCTGCCTGGAAACATAGTTGTGTCAACCAGCCCAAGCTTTCATTTGGGCTAAAAAGTTCAGTTGGAAAAGCTTTTGCAGTATTTTTTAGTGATGAAAATTCATTGGACAGGTATTGTCACTGGTGCCAACATTTCTACTAGAAGATTTGTCACCGCGAAGGCAGCAACTGCCTTGTTTGAAATGTGGAAATGTAAGGCTGAGTGATGTGCATATTTTTGTATTCACCATCTAAAGTTAGTGTCATATCGGTGTAACTTTGACTAGAATACTCGGGTTAAAGCCAACATTGCTTTCGGCAGGTAGATTTGTAATAACATGATGCAGTAATCATGAGCAATTGCTCATACCAGTTGTTATAGTAAAAAAATTGTTGCTTGTCAGTCAGTGAGGGCTGTACATAAATGCATGGTTAAGGAAGGCACTTTCTGTCTTGATGAAGACAACTCCACCTGTCAAAATGTTGGGGCAAGCAACATTTCTTGTTCAAGGGCTTTTCATCACTTCGAGCTTTCTTCTATCTCTGAACGTCTGTTCTTTTTGAATTCTTGAGTTTCCTTAAAGTAATTCCTTTGTCTGGTGGCAGCTCCTTGTATTTTGGATTGTGCTCTGCAGTGCTTGAGCTTTCAATAATACTTGGTGGACTATATTTAAAGACTTTCAACGCACAACACTACGATAACAGATAACAGTGTGGTTCCAATGTGTGTACTATGTGCTTGCATGTTCGTTCCTATTAAGCAAATGTTATGAGCATAGGCATGAATTCATGCGGGTTTGTAAAACCCTCAAAAACCCTTGAATTTGAGAAGTTTGTTTTCAAGGCCTTGAAAGTGCTGTAACTTTTGCAAATCATTGAAAATCATTGAGTTTCTTTTTTTTTATATTTTTAAAATAAAAGTTGTCGCACATCACAGCACATTATTTGTGATACCGTAAATTTAGCAGGTGGCATAGGTAATTTGCCCATCACAAAAGAAACCCACACCGTGCATTTTCGGAAACTCTGAAAAGGCAGGAGCAGGAGGATAGGAAACAGAAAAAATATATGTTGCGATGAGGAGAAGGTCGAAATGTTAACAAAAAAGTAAAAAAAAACTAGAAGCGGTTCTGAAGGAATTAACAGCTACAGCAGACTCGTTTGCACAAAAGACAGAGGCAACTAGTCACTTGACATGCATCATCAAGTCAAATACCCTTAGGAAGACTGCCAAGACTAAGCAGCAAGCGACAGTACACATTCATATGAAAATTCAGAAGTAGTAGTTACTGAAATTCAGAAATGCTGAAAGTGATTATTCATACAACTAAAAAATTAGGATCAAAAGTTCTCTAGAAATAAAATGTAATTGCAGCCATGTTTTTGATGCCTGCTCAAGCGACTTTACCCTTTTTCGATAAATTCTAATTATTTCAAGTCTTCATCTTCTCCTGAAGTATGGCAATTGGGTTTCTGACCGATAATGTGGTCCTGGAAAATTCAGACATAGCCTTGGAAGTCCTTGAAAACTCTTAAATTTTTGACATGTAAACAAGCATGAACCCTGGACTTGTATACTGGTAACCTTGCATACATCTCGCCCTATGGCTAATTAGAAACCAAGCTTGATAATGAGCGAGTAAAGCACGATTGAATGCCTTAGTGACTCATTAGTACTATTGTTGAACATCAGTGTTTTAGTGCTGGTTAGTTAATGGCAACATTTCTCTGAAAACCTTGCCCGCCCCATAATAATTCTACGCTGTTTGTGTTACAATGTCAACACACTGTTTTATGATACTTTTTGCTGGCTGAAATTTCTGCACATACGTGGTGAAAAGTTATGGTGCATTAGCTCGGGCACTGGCTGCATGCTTGTCACTGTGTTGAGTATCAAAAGCACAAAATTTTGCTTTCCTTCGTACCTTTAGCAGATAAAGAAGCGAAGTATGGAAAGATGCATAAAAGCAGAGTACGTAGTTATCCTGATTTTTTGGTGTCCTGAAAAATTATTTTGCAAATAATGTTTGGTCTTTGATCACAACATCCAACTGCTTATTGGTGGGGGGTCTTTGTAAAGAAGTTAATTGCACATCTCAGTGGGAGAAAAGCTGGCCAAAACTAGCAATATCGACTTGTTTTTGTTAAAAAAAAGTGTGAATCCTTATATGCCTTTCATAAATTGCCATCCTCCAATCGTTATTATTTTTCTACATTTGCACCCTCTAAAATTATTGGATAGAACATTGTTCCTGACATTTTTACCCATTGTGAACAGTGTTTATCCCACTAATGTACGTGGTACAGTTGGCTAGTAGTTACACATGTGCCACATCTACAAGTTTATATTCCGCCATTTTTATGCCGAAGTTAAAAGCCTGGGGGAGGGGGGGGTCATATGTCTTGCTCAACTCAATATGGGTGGCCAAAAAATGTACCGGTGTAAGTCGCATTGAATGAAATGCAACTGCCTGAGTACTTTGGCCTGCCTTCTGCTGTAGGTGCTCTGAGCGGCAGTATGATGCTAAGAAGTTTGAAAATAGAGTGGCACACTACCCATTCAAGGACCACAACCCGCCGAAGATTGACCTCATCAAGCCTTTCTGTGAGGATGTTGCAGAATGGCTGTCCAAACATCCATCCAATGTTGCTGTCATCCACTGCAAAGCAGGCAAGGTGCGTGCGAGCTCAACCTTGTTGTTGGATGGGTCTCTGTGATAACATGGTGCCCATCCTCTGTGCTGTGAATTCGGTGTTTGTAAAGAGTATTGCATAATGACGCACTTGTTTGTGTGAGCCGAGACCTCAAGCCAGTAATCTAAAAATGTTCGATTCTTCTTTGTAAGAATATGGATTTCGGGATATTGATAGACCTGATCTACTTTTGTCTGTGTTGTACATTTTACTTAATGGGGACTTCAAGTTGTTGGGCATTTTCAGCATGATGCGCTATAATTAAAACATAAGAAAACTGAAGTGGCTGTCTAAAAGCACTACATTAAACCATTCCAGAAAGTATTTTACAATCTAACACAAAGGGTATTCACGGACTTCAATATATTTTCAAGCATTTTGCCCCTCCGCCGGGGTCTAGTGGCTAAGGTACTCAGCTGCTGACTCGCAGGTCGTGGGATCAAATCTCGTGCGGCGGCTGCATTTTCGATGGAGGCGAAAATGCTGTAGGCCCGTGTGCTCAGATTTGGGTGCACGTTGAAGAACCCCAGGTGGTCGAAATATCCGGAGCCCTCCACTACGGCGTCTCTCATAATCATATGGTGGTTTTGGGATGTTGAACCCCACTTATCAATCAATCCATTTTCAAGCATTTCAAAGTGTTTCAATATATGGGCACCAATGTGGAGGTTACTTGCAGCTGGTTTAGAGCAGCTGGTTTAGAGTAGGTAGAAGGCCACGTGTGAATAACTAGCGTATCTGCCCGGTCTTTATAACTTCTTGTAATGTTTACAATGCTTGTCTTGTTTCACAATTTTGAGAAATGTTGGTCGAGTTGCTGGGATAAAACAGATTACGTTCGGGAGGACTACCTTTTTGAAGCTGTTTTGAAAGGACGGGTTCATGCAGTACTGTAGAAATTACACCTAAGAAAAGTCGTGACATATGGTGCTGGTCGGTACGATTGGGATGCTCACTTTGAACTTGAATATTCAGAGTTCTTGCTGAAGCCAGTAAGATCTGCAGCAGCATAGTAGCTAGAAAGTCACTGATTCATTAAGTATTGCTTTTCAATCTGGTTTTTCGTTTGGTGCTGATTTACAAGGGTGTGCGTTAAAGTAAACATTGTAAAGTGTGCATGTGTCACTTGTGATGTGTGCAAGATCTTTGCACATTTTAATGCCGAGAGATGTTGACACACATGCACAGGTCAGTAGTAGTTGCTCGATTATGAAGCAAGTTATACAGGCAACTGATCAAAAATACCAGTAGACTTGCCATGCTGAATGTTTATATGTTCAGCCGTAATTGCACTGAAGAAAAGGGAGGGTGGAAACATTGAATTGTAGCTATAGCCAACCTATTATTGCTAGTAACGGCTATAAATATGTGTTGACTTAGATTGTAAAGTTTTTTTTTACCTGTAATATCTTGAACTCGTTTTTTGGTGTTCCTTTCAGTGCTGTTTCACGAAAAGAAGCATTGCAAAAATAAGTTACCATTGCACATTATGTTCCTGCATTTTCACCTGCAGGGTCGAACGGGAGTGATGGTGTGCTCATATTTGGTACACAGCCGCATGTTTGCCACTGCTGGGGAGGCTCTCTCTTATTACAGTGAGCGCAGGACGAAAGACCTCAAGGTTTGGAACTCCTTGTGTTTTCACTTTAATAATGCCATTTAACCTTTCTATTGGCTGGGCTCACACCCAGAAGTGCCACTAGGCTGTAGAAAACAGTTTGTTGAAGCAATAAACATTGCTATATGTTTTAGTGAGGGTAACTTTGTAGAGCGTAGGGAGCTTTCGGTGCAGCAAGAGGTGTACCATTTTATATACATGTCCTAAGCAATGGTTACGAAAGTGTGTCCGCCCATAGCCATAGCAACTTGAAGACATTTGTTATTTGAGCTTTTTATGGCAAGGCCTCACATTTTTTATTAGTGATAAATTTAGTGCGACACGTCGAGGGCAAAAAAAAAAAAAAAAACAAGATATTTGCAGTGACTGCCACAACTGTCAATACCAATACAGTTAAAGCTTGTTAAATCGAATTCCATGACTACGCTGAGTAATTTCAAATTAAACAAAATTTGAAATAATGAAAGTGAGCAAAAATGGGTGGATTTCGGGGCTGGGGGCACGAAGAATATTTACTGGCCAAAAAAAGTCGGTGATGACCATCTGCTTCTTTTTTCTGAATGCCACCAGTTGCGGCTCTTTGTTCCAGCACGCGAACGCGGTGCAGGGAATCCTCTTCACCCTCTTCAAAGCTGAAGAAGAGATGCACCACGTTAAGGGCCTCCATCACCTCAGGCGCTGACGGGCGCACAGGCACTTGTCATCTTCGTCTTCCTCGCCCCAATCTGGCTCTTCAGCAACTGGCTGCACACCGGCTACTTGAGCAATAATGTCCTCATCAGTCAAGGCACTACATACCGATGCACCGGTGTCAACTTCAACATAATCGGCAAAATGTACACCCTGAAGAGTGTCGCGCAATGCCACTGGCCTGAGCTCCTCAGCCCCGTCCACACCGACGTCACAACTATCTTGCGCGCTTCCAGTTGCAAATCTACTGTGGTGGAAACAGTTTGCGATTGTGGTTGCAGTCACCTGTTTCCATGTGCTCACCAACATGTGCATGGCAGTGAGCAGCGTAATGCCGAAGTCGTTCCTGCCACCCACGCACAAAATAATTCTCTCCAGCATATGACGCCTATAAAAGCACTTGGTTTTCCTTATCACACCCTAGTCCATTGGTTGTAGAGCCGCAGTTGTGTTTTGAATGTGAAAGCGACCACTGCCGGCCCTTTCTCGACGTCCAGCTGGCAAGAAAGCGCAACGGCCTGGAGTTCTTCGTTCATAGGAAGCCAACGCACACTGGCCGCTACCTTCAATTTGATTCTTCCCACGCCGGCTGCCACAAGGCCTTGGTTGTGACCACGCTACTCGACAGAGCTAGGAACTTATGCTCCAATGACAAAGAGCAAAAGAAAGAAGAGGCCCGCGTAATTGCGGACCTCAGAAAAAACGGATACCCAAAAAACTTCATTCGAGCTGCCACCCGCCGTGCAGAGCAACAGAGGATACGAAAACCCCAATCAACCTTAATTGGCAGCCCCCCGAAACGCGTACCGGTTCCATATATTCAGGGAACCGGCGAAATGTTGGCGCGAATCTTCAAGAAAAAAGGGGTTCGCTTCGCGCAGGTGCCTTTGTGTACACTGGGCCGCCTCCTCTCTCGCCTGAAAGACTGGCCAACAATGGACAGGACCGCCGGTGTAGTTTAAAAAATTCTGTGCGCCGAGTGCCCCTCTTTGTATATCCGCGAGACGAAAAACCTATCGAAACGACTGAAGCAACACGCCAAAGATGCGCGGAAGTTCTACAAAGAGCGCAGCGCAGTCGCCGAACATGCTGAGACGTTGGATCACCAGATGAATTTCGAAGCGACGGCCATCCTTAAAAGCGAGCCGAACTGGAGGAGAAGGTTGTTACTCGAGTCGTGGTACATACAGAGGACAGCCCATATCATCAACCGCTCTCTCGGAACCCTTTCCCCAGTGTATACACACGGACTGCGCTCCCCGGCAAAACGAGAGAAAGAGAGTCATTATCCACCTCGGGAGTGCTTTGAAGACGCCGCTGCTACGTAGCCTTCGCAGTCACCCCTGAGGAAGGAATCAAGTCTGTTTCGAAACATCGGGTTTCTTCAAAACTTTTGGTTGGAGTCTAAATCATCTCCCCGCAGTCGTGTTTGCAGGAAGGAACACCAACTTTATTGCTCTCAGCTTAACGTCGACTAGGTGCGCCGAACAGTTGTCGACAACAAGAAGAACGCGTCTATTGCCCAGTTCCATTTGCCGGTCGAATTTCAGCAGCCACTTCCTGAATAGGTCACCTGTCATCCAGGCTTTCTTGTTTGCGGCATACTCCGTCGGGAGTGACCGAATGTTCTTGAAGCACTGTTGCTTGAGTGCTTTGCCAATCACAAAAAGGGCGACATTTTCTGTATTGATCATATTTGTGGCTACCAGAACAGCGACACGCTCTTTGCTGTGCTTGTCGCCAGCACAGCTGTCTCTCTTGTAAGGGATCACCTTGTCCGGCTGCAACTTAAAAAATAACGTGTCGTCTTGTCAGCGTTAAACACATCCTGTGGCAAGTAGCTCTCCAAGTACTGCTGCAGGGTGTCGCTTCTCCAAGTAGTGCATGTTTCAGCGTCCGCTTCCTTTGTTTCGCTGGATAACATGCAGAATACAAGATTGTGCCGCTCCCTAAAACGATGAAGCCATCCCTTGAAAGCGACAAAGTCTTCAATGTCCATGCGCAGAGTAAAATCGGCTGCCTTGGCCATGATGATAGGGTCACTCAATGCTGGGTCATTCCACGCCAATCGTCCCAGCCATTTTGGTGATCATTCCAAATGTATACGAAAAAAATTGTGCTGATTTACTACATTGAAAACAGTAAAACAGTAGAATATTTCTGACAGAAAAATATTTTTGGTCACGTGGCTGCCTTCTGAACTTCCCGAAATGTTGTTTGTGGAAAAAATTATTTTAAAAGTACTGCTCCTTCTTTCTGTAAAAAATTTGGTCAACATGTTAAGTAACAATTCTCATGTAAGGTGTTAGAAGCTCAGTAACATTAGTGCAATTTTACTGGCACAGACACCTCCAAGAAATCAGCCAAAATGCTTTATGTTTGCATTTTTTGCTATTGCAATACTGCACTTTGTATTAATACCTGAGTAGTAAATACTTATTCCACAAAAGGTATATTTTAAGGAAAAAATATTTGTCTACCTCTCAGGCTGCTAAAGTTGATGTGAAAAAATCACAAATTTCGCGAAATGGTCACTTTTGTCCATATTAGAGACGCAATATGCGCCATGTAGTGGTCCAATTAAAAATCACTTTTATACTTAAATCAAAATCAAATAGGCAGTTCTTTTTATCTGACAATTCTTATCGTTATATTCTTTGTTTTGAGGAAGAAAATAATTGTTAAACCTACCCATTGGCACCTATCTTCCCATTTGGTCATACGACAGCTGCCGCCTGGAAATTCCTCATTGCCGTCAATGGAACAGTTAAAAAATTATTTTCTTCCGTAAAACAAAAAATTGTAATGATAAGATTTGCCATATAAAAAGAGCTGCTTATTTGCTTTTGATTTAGGTATAAAGGTGAGTTTTAATTGGACCACCACATGGTGCAAATTGCATCTGAATTTGAACAAAATTGACAATTTTGCCAAGTTTGTGATTTTTCTCCTCAAGTTTGGTAGCTTGAGTGGTCTACAAATATTTTTTCCTCAATATATACTTTTTGTGGAGTAAGTATTTACTACTCAGATATTCATACAAAATGCAGTATTGCAATAGAAAAAAATGCAAACATAAATCATTTTGGCTGAATTCTTGGAGGTGTCTGTGCCAGTAAAATTGCACTAATGTTACTGAGCTTCTAACACCTCACATGAGAATCTTTACTTAACATGTTGACCAAATTTTGTACGGAAAGAAGGAGCAGTACTTTTAAAATAAATTTTTCTACAAACAACATCCAAACAACATTTCGGGAAGTTCAGAAGGCAGCCACGTGACCAAAAATATTTTTCTGTCAGAAATATTCTACTGTTTTACTGTTTTCAATGTAGTAAATCAGCACAATTTTTTTTCAAATACATTTGAAATGGTCACCAAAATGGCTGGGACGTTTGGCATGGAATGCCCCTGCTATACTCTGCGCTCTCATTTCTTTAACCCAGATAATCAAAGCTGACTACAGTTCCGGGAATTTTGCTGTCCTTAACCTTTTCTGACTGGCGCCAAAATCCTCAGCTTCATAGGCGTTTTCAATGGCCGTCCTGTTCCGTATGTCGGTTGACAAGGTGCTCCTAGGTATGCTATGCTTCGCAATACCATATTTGCTCGACTTCCCTTGGTCAACCTCTCGCAAAATCTCCACCTTCTCCTTGACAGTCTTCGGGCAGTAGTTTCCCTGCTGCATCTTGCAACATTGATGTGGAATAAGACGGCTTTTCACCCCGCCGCGGTGGGCTAGTGGCGAACCCCCGTATTCACAAACGCTCCTCGACTCAACTTTCACCCTTCACTTGACAGAGTTGAGCACTGCGCCGCTGCTCGGCTGAAAATGACGCTGCGCTAGTCAAGAATAGCAGCAAATTATCACTGATATGCAGTGACTTGCCCTACCTAGAGATGGAGCTCCAATCGGCTTTTTCAAGTGAAGGTGGAGTGTCGAGTGAAGGGGCGTTCTAGAATACCGGGGTAAGGTACTCAGCTGCTGACCCGCAGGTCGCGGGATCGAATCATGGCTGCAGCGGCTGCATTTCCGATGGAGGCGGAAATGTTGTAGGCCCTTGTGCTCAGATTTGGGTGCTCGATAAAGAACCCCAGGTGGTCGAAATTTCCGGAGCCCTCTACTACGGCGTCTCTCATAATCATATGGTGGTTTTGGGACGTTAAACCCCACAAATCAATCAATCAATGAGACGGCTTGACGGCGTAAACGAACAACATGCTCGGGGAACAAAGTAACGCTGCTGGGTGCAGCCTAGGACTGCTAGGACTACTCCGCCGACCCCTCAGTGTCCCGTGTATACAAGTGGCGTCAGGCGTTGAGATAGCCAGGGGATAATAGAAAAAAAACAAAAAAAAAAACATTGCTCTCCCGATTTCGGAGGCCATACTTTGCGAGCTCTTTGCTCAGAGGCCTCTTAAAGCTCAAAAAAAAAAAAAAAAACAGTCATGCCACCTATCGTTAGGTCGTAAAAACTTCCCTTAGTGTTTGACAACAATGACGCTCAGTGGCGCGTGCTTCAAAATATCCATAGAGGCAGCAATTTATGTTCGAAATAACGAATCGTTTTACACATGGTCTCCTACGCACTGCGGACTGGATTGTAGTGACCATTTTGAATTATCCAACATTTTGAATTAACGAGGTGTGAATTAACAAGCTTTTACTGTATGTTGATCACACAAGCAAAAGTTTTGTGGCTGGTAGTAGCAAAGAGTGAAAGTTTTCTTATTGTTTGCCTGCAGAGCCACGAATTAAAACATGTGAATTGAAACTGCATGAGCAAGTGCATGTGTGTTGAGTCATATTTCTAACTGCATGTCTTGAATTGTTCTTTTTTCTTTCTCTTGTAGTGCCTTAACTTTTGGTCATGATAGTATGTACTGGTCATTCTTCAGGAAAATCTCAGTGACTGATTTGTGAGAGAGTGTAGAAATACTCTAGTTTGTGAAAGCTTGTCCCAGTGATGTTAATCATTACTTAAGCAATTCGATGATCGCATTAATGTAACAGACTTGTTTTTATCTTTAACTTTTTAAAGCTTGTTTAAATGAAGAACATTTTAATGGCAGTTAAAATGCTTGTATATGGGCTAAGAACATTTAAAATTACTCTCGCTATTTTATTACCCTGGTGGGATTTGTGGATGAGCTTGTAGTGAAAAACAATGTCTCTAGCCTTGCAAGTTTCGCTGTAAAACATACTCAGACTTGGCAGGTGAACTGACCTCCAGGGTATGTGCAGGTACAGTCTTGAAGGCCTTAAAAGCCCTTGAAATTGAAAAGCATATTTTCAGGGCCCTTGAAAAGTCCCGAATTTTTTTTCTTTGAAAATCAGTGAATTCTTTCACAAGTGCTTTCTTAAATTGTCTATATGACCTGCTCTCTATGGCAGATAAGTGTTTATCTGGCAAACTCCCCATTTGGGAAATAATATTCCAGCTTGAGTGCACTGGTCCTGTTTTATAATACAGTTAAACCTCGTTATAACGAAATCGGAGGGCCGTCGCTATTCGCTCGTTATAACCAATATTTCGTTATAGCCGTAGCGGGCATTTACCGCAAATAATATGCACTGTACTTACCCCCCAAAAAAAAACGGGTGAAATAGCATCCCGCCGCACGGTGGTATGCAACAAAATAACCGCATTTCCAAATAAAAAGGAAAAAATCATGCACCTGTTTTAATGCACTTTAAAATACACAGCTTGCATTTCAGGCAGACTTAGCTGCAAAGAAGTCCGTAATTGGACGTTGATGCATCTTCCTGATGCGAACGATGGCTCGCTCAGCTGCGGCAGCAATGTTCAAGCCATCTTCGCCGCCCTCGTGAGCGCCGAAGTAGCGGCGCAGTACGTCCACCGCGTCTAATGCCTCCGACGCCGTCGGCACGTTTGTCTCCTGTTTGTCGACAGAGTCATCGTCACTGGTTTCGTTACGATCACTGACAGCGCGCACAATATCGTCATCCAGGAGCTGCTCCATTGCCACCACTTCCAAGTCCGCACTCACATAGTCGCAAAACGACTCGTTGTCAGGCACGGCACCGGCGTCACGAAGTGCTGTCCATGATGCAGTGACTTCGTCTGATGTGGCAAAACCGTCCGGCACAGTGGGCTCGTCTGATGGCTCATCGCTGGCGTCTGTTGCGGCGGCAAATGAGGCGTGTCGAAAGCAGTTTGCGATCGTGGTCGCCGTCACACTCATCCACGCCGCCTGAAGCATTTTGAGCGCAGCGTACAAGTCAACATCCGTGTCTCGCTTCATCCTCATGTTGAGCAGGAGCTTGTCTATCACACGCTTGCGGTAACCTGCCTTCAGTGACATAATCACGCCTTGGTCAAGCGGCTGTATTTTTGCTGTGCAGTTGGCCGGAAGGAACAGCAGCTCGATGTTTTGAAGCACGGCAGCGGTATGGTGGGCGGTGCAGTTATCTAAAACAAGGCACACTGCGGTTCGCCTTTGCCAGCTTCTCGACCCACACGCACAGCCATTTTGAAAAAATCTCCCTGGTCATCCAGGCTTTGCGATTGGCTACGTGCTTGACTGGGAGCTGCCTCTTCCCCTTAAAGCAGCGAGGGGATGCACTTTTGCCAATTACGAAAATTGGCAGCTTCTCAGAGTCGGTCATGTTTGCACAAAGTAGCGCAGTGATGTAGCACAGTGACTTTGTTTGCCGCCATGGCACGACTCGCCTTTGAGGGCTAACGTCTTGTGCGCCAACACCTGAAAAAGAGAGCGGTTTCGTCCGCGTTAAAAATATCCTCCGCGCTGTATTTTTCTAGCAGCCGCACGATGTTTTCTTTCGCCCACTTGGTAGCCTCTGTTTCGTCGACAGATTGCGATTCGCCGCAGACCGCTCTCCCGACTATGTCGTGGCGCTCCTTGAAGCGTTGTAGCCAACCCGAACTTGCTACGAAGTTGTCATAGCCCATGATGCAGGCAAAGTCTCTCGCTTTTCTTTGCAGCAAGGCGCCGCTCACCGGCAGATTCACGGCCCGTGTGTCCAAGAACCATTTAAAAACGGCCCTTTCAACTGCTTCAAAGGCAGGCGCCCTCATCCTCTTAGCGCTTCCTTTCACGCCACGTGCAACAACGTCGATGATGGACTCCTGCTTGCTCAAGACGGTTGACAGTGTGCTCGTCGATACGCCAGAGTCTCTTGCCACGTTGCCTTTCTTGGTCCCCGATTCGACGGCTCTTATCATAGCCGCTTTCTGATCTAGCGTTATGCGCTTTCGCTTCCCGCCTGGCGCATTCATGTTGTTGGAATCACGAGCGCAGCACGATAAAAGATAAGGCGGAAGCGGTCGAAAAACAGAAGAAACACGCACGCAAAAGCAACGGGGCTCACGTCGGCGAGCGACAACACTTGCAGAGAAAGTGACTGTGAAGAGGAAGGGGCAGAAGGGGCGCTCTTTTGCGCTGCACTCTGGGAACCGGTTACTCAAGGGGAAGGGGGGTATTTAAGATTAGGAAGCGCGCCTCAGCGCCATGAGAAAGGGGAGAGGGAGCATATAAAGAAGACACAAAAGAAAAGAAAAGGGCGAGACGTTCGCGGAGCGCTCCGCTGTCGGTGGTAGCCAAGTGGCGCACGTGCAGCGACCTCTCCTCCGGAAACAGCGCGTGCCGTCTGCTTTGCGTGCGTTGCTGGAGGGCGCGTGCGTTGCTGGAGGGCGCGTGGCAGGAGTTTTGAACTGCTAAATACAGTTCTCGCGTTGCGCGCAGTCTCGAATTCGCGTTGTGCACTGTCGTGACATCAGCTCAAAATTTTACTTCCTAATAAAATTTGTTTGTTATATCCCATAACAGGCAAATTTTGTCTTGTTGAAACGAGGTTTTTAATACATTGGTTTGTATGGGGACTTTTAAGGGGAATTAGGATTTGCTCGTTATATCCATTATTTCGTTATAGCCCGTCTCGTTATAACGAGGTTTAACTGTATTCCAGAAAAACTAAAAAAGAGCATTGTAAACGGAGCCAGTGACACGCATTTGTGCCCGGTGATGGCTCACCTTTCATGCTGATCCAGTCTTCTTCACGACGCCTTATCTGATTGTTCATTTCATTGCGTCACCTGTCCGTCTGCCTTCTTCTCAACCTACCTTCTTGCGACTGAACAGCACCTACAGTGCTTGCGCTACTTTTTTTTCTCCTTTGTCTCTCTGTCGTGCATCCATTGCATAAAATGTACCTGCTGACCGTCAGTTAATATTTGCCAGTGTAATCAACAGCTCTACAAATGCCCACTGTCCTCATGCAGCCAGAGTCAAAACTGCTGTGTGCGAGCCTGATAAAAAAAAAAAGCTTTAATTAAAGCTGCTGACATTTCTCCCGCTCAATGATTGGCTATCTTGCAGTGTTTTTATTGATCTATTTTTTGTGAAGATGTTTGCAATACATACACCGTGGATAATTTCTGAATGGCGAACCATAGCAGCATGAGTCCAATTCGTAGTTATTTGAAATAGCTAGGAGGGGGATTAAATCAGAAAAATATTCAAGTATCAAATTGTTAACAAGAGGGAAAAAGGAGCACTTGAATTAGTCATTAATGGTCTGACTGCTTTCGGCAGATTCCTATAGGGCAGTGGTTCTTAAATGGGGGTTCGCGAAGCCATTTTATATGATCCGCAAAACCCTCACCCGCATTTTTTTTAAGTGTGACTTAGCCACGTATTAACTGTCCAAACTAAAGTGATGTGGCACATTTGTTTGATGTATTTGGTAGCAATAAAAAGCACCTGTTTCAAGCTATAGTTGTGTTAATTTACCCATGTACCCCCTCCCGCCCTCCTTTCTTTTTGCTGCAAGGGGTGCCCGACACAACCATGGCTGAGAACCACTGCTATAGGGAATGAGTGCAAGCACCTAATCACATCACGTTCTTAGCTAAAGTGAGCAGCTTGCCAAAGACTGCAGAAAAAAAGAAAAGTTGAACTCGTGAACTGAAGAACATCACTTAACTACATATTATGAACTAATAAAACTGTCATGCTGTGAGCTATTTCACATTGCCATAGCATTTTGTGTGAGCGCTTACTGATCAAGTGTCAAATGCAGGGGGTGACAATCCCAAGTCAGCGGCGGTATGTGGAGTACTATGCCAAGCTAGTCAGCACACATGCGGAGTACAACCCAGAGACGCTGGTGCTGCACTCGCTCTCTCTTGAGCCTGTGCCTACCTTCAATGGAGGGACCTGCTGTGAGTTGCCACTTCTTTTGTTAGCTAGAGAGGGGAGGGTGGGGCAAATTTTAGTCATCAGCCTACTGGTTGAAATATGCAATGCCAAGGAATTTTGCAAGTGAATAAGCTCGTTAATTCACTTTCAAGATTGCGAAGCGCTCGCTGGTATTAAAGGAGACAGAAAGTGCTTGAATAATGCGGGTAATCTCCAGAACTTCACTCGTACTTGACAGATTCCAGAAATGTTTTCACCATGTAATTCGTGAAGTGTAATGCGCTAATGGTGAAACTGTTTCATTATTTAGGCTTGTGCAAATATTCAAATGTTCCGAATATTTTACAGTATTCAAATTCACTCAAATTCAAATTTAAAATAATGAAAATTTCCAAGTATTCAATTAAGTGAATAAGTGTATATTAGTCTGCAAATAACCCCTTGTAAAGGTGGTTCTATGGCAGCGGCGGGTTGCTAAACTGTGAAAGCTTCTATTTAAATGTATATTACTGTAAAAGCTGTATTATAGGTCGAATTAAAAAAATGCAATGAAAAGTTAACTCTTGTCTTATATACTGGTCATTGGCATGAAAAAATGTGGAATTCTCACAACAATGGGCAGCTGAAGTGAAAAGCCTACATTGCCATCATGAGCATCAGCAGCAGCGTTGTGGGCAAAGCTAGGCAAGGGCTACAGTGTTCTAACATTGCCATTTTGCCTGTGTTATCTGGTGTCAGTCTGCTGTTTTCTTTCTTCTATTTTCTTCAGAAATGAGTAGTAGTCATGAGCAGTTTACGATAGGCTTTAAAAAAAGTTTTAGAGGATGCCGAAGCGCACGGCAACCTGGCGGCACAATGAGAATTCGGTGCATCGAAGAAAAGCGCCTGATACTAGAGGAGACACAAGCAGTGCATCACATCCTGCAGCAAAAAAAAAAAAAAAACAAAAAAAACTTCATTTCGTTGACAAGCTTCAGTGCACCCCGAACTGGAAACTCTACTTGCCGAATTCGTCCGGGAGCGTCGTGCAAGGTTGCTACCCGTAACAGTGGAGTGCATCTGCGGGAAAGCTTTCGAGCTAGCGTGCGACTCTGGGCTCACAAGGGTGCAATTCAAGGGATCGCCATCGCGGGTGCGCCGATTTATGAAGCGGAAGGGCCTTGCGCTGAGGTGGCTTACTTCCATCTTTTCGCAAATGCTGCATCAGTAACGTATTAGATGGAATGGAGGACCATGCACTCAGGGACGTTACTAGTGAAAAGCAGATGTCGTCAGACTCAAGTTTGGACGAGTCTGAGCGACGGCACTTTGTGGCCTTTTGGCGTTTAAGTACATAAGATTAGTGTCCAAATAAAAATAAATGTCACCACAATGCAGCTGGTTGTGTCCGTATTTACCAATGTAAGGGTGTGCCGTGATACTTAGTGATTTTTTTTTTATTTCTTTTTCGGAGATTCAAAGTTTGGGGGGTAGACCTATATTCCTGTCTGACCTGTATTTCGGTTTTTACGATGGTCAACATGTAACCCTATCAAAGGTTGTTTCACTGCAGGGAAGGTATGCTAAGCTACAAAAACACCTATTAAGGGGAAATCACTGTCACGAAGCTTTATTTCAAAGTTACATGAACATATTACCCTCACATGGATGCAATGTTTTTTTAAATTTAAAAGCTTGTTATACCGGCTTGTATGTACTAAGTACCATAATTACTCGAATCTAACGCGCACCTTTTTTCCGGTTAAGCGAGTTCATAAATCGCATGCGCGTTAGAGTCGAGTACGAACAAAAAATTACGGTCAATCTATTGCCATCGCAAATCCAAAATGGCCGCCCTCTACGTGCGTCAGCATGGCGCGTCGGCCATTTCTGCCTATGTGTTTCCCATGTGCGGCACTTCGTAGTGACGTGTGCTGAGGAGTTCGTCATCTAGTAGTGCATTAGCATCGACGGCGTGGAAGGGCCGACTCCAAAAACTCGAGTGCACCACGATGCCGCTTTTAAAAGAAAAGTCATCGCGTGTGCAGAAACGGACGGAAATCGGGCCGCATCGCGGTCGTTCGGAGTTCCTGAAACGTGCGTGCGGGACCGGTGGAAACAAAAGCAGAAGATTGTTGACAGCAAAGCTTCACGCAAAGGCTTCAGTGGACCACAGCAGGGTCGGTTTCCGAAAATTAAAGAGCTGCTCGGCGAGTATGTGCTTGAGCAGCGAGCGGCACAGCGGCCCGTGATGACAGAACTGCTCCAAGTGCGGGCTATGCAATTAGTCTTAGAAAAAGGTCTAATGCGGAGCCAGTTTAAAGCGAGCAGGTGCTGGCTAACTAACTTTATGAAGAGAAAAGGTTTTTCCCTCCGAAGGGGAACATGCATATGCGAAAAGTTTTGCGGAGGAGTACGATGAAAAGCTTCACAGGTTTCAGAGGTTCGTCCTAAACTTGCGGCGCAACATCGGCTACCTACTTGGGCAAATCGGGAATGCCGATCAGACGCCTCTTTACTTCGACATGCCTGGCACCACAACCGTCGAGAAGAAGGAGGCGAAGCAAGTTCGCATGCTGACATCGGTCCACGGTAAAACTACAGTGACGGCAATGCTCTGTTACACGTCAGATAGGCACAAGCTTCGCCCGTACCTCATATTTAAATGGAAGACGCTCCCGAAAGCAATCGTTTTTTCGAGTGGTGTGATCGTACGGGCCAGCGAGATAAATGGGTGCGCGTTGCAATCGATGTCGTACGTTTTTTTTTTTTCGCGGTGGAAATCGGGTGCGCGTTATAATCGAGGGCGCGGTAGAATCGAGTAAATACGGTATATGTAAGTTTTAAAATGCAACATATTTTATTATAGGTGCAAATGAGTTCTATGAAAACCCACAAGGTGGTGGAAGGGTTAAGAAAGGGAAAGAACTCAAAGCACGTGTCCGTGTGCTTTGAGTTGTCGATGAATTCGCCCTCACGCTGTAAATTGTTAGCTTCCTGGTTAGCTCAATTGACGGAACGACCGCCTCGGATAGGTGTTGGTCCCGTGTTCGAACCCCGGACCTGGACGAATTTTTCGGCAACTAAGAGGCTTTTTGTTTCTGAGAAATCCATATGGATTTCCTTGTGGCTTCGTGCTACAAAATTGGTGGTTGTTTTCTTTCCCATTTTATTACAGGTTATCACTTGCAATCTACCGATAGTCAAATCCTGCTATTATTCGAAGTTCCCACTTCTTTTGAACAACAACAAACAAAAAGGCATTTGTGCAGGCCTCGTTTCAATTTTTTAAGAAATATTGTGCAGGTTAGCCAGATCATGAAAGATATGCCCCTCCCCCTTTTTTTGATGGCACGTGATCTACAGTATTCGATATTCGATTCGAAATTATTCAACCAAAATCACTATTTGCTTCGAATTTGCTTCGAATTTGCTTCGAACATAAAATTCACTATTTGCACAAGCCTACCATTATTGCTCACAGGGGTTGAAGGGCTGTGCCGATTGCACCAATCAGTGCTAATCTGACCTGCTGTGCCTACACGCTCATTTGGGCATGCGACACTAAAGTTAGCAGAGTCTTATCATCAACCGAACAAAATGCGTTGGATGCATAAAGGATGAAGCCGCAACCATATCCCGTGTAGTTCGGTCATGTTGTGTTTGGGTTCATGCCTGGTGCTGGCACCACGCATGAACTTATAACACCATGCGTGAATGTTGTGCTGCGTGAACCTTGTTGTCACACTGTGCCAAGCAACCGCGGAGCGCAGGACACGCTCATTTATGCAGACCGCCGAACCATAAAAACTGAATAAAATAAAAATCTGTTCAATTGGCAAAGACATGATTGCTATAGCAACCAAGTGTAATGTTGCAATGATAATGCCTCACGCGCTTCTTTCTTTATGTTATGTTTCCACCACATTATATGTGTAACGCTGCCGTGTGCAAACGGCACTCGAATGACTGGGAACCATTTAGATAATCTTCCATTGAGATTACGCTCAGTACACATACATTATAGTTTGTTTTAAAACTTACGGAACCACTAGCGATAATGCTGTAATCTTTGATGGCATGCCGACATGGTCAACTTCTTGGCACATTTGACGACCAATGCTCCAAGTTCCCTGCTATCAGTCTACAGCATCTATTGCTTGTAGAGTGACGTTTCGTTTCATAATCTTTAAGTTCACCAAGTAATAAGTCAAGTCATGAAAACGGCACGTCAACGTCACGACCTCATTAAAGTACGAAGTAAGGCTGACAGCTAACTTTTTTTGGATCTGAATTCGCGTAACCTTACAAAATACTGGTGTAAAAAGAACTGTGGTCGTTCCAGCGAGAAATGCTCTGTTTGCACTATATCTTCCCTTTGAGATCGCACCACATAGTGCGTGCACCAGCGATTGCGACCACCACCACGCCCTTAGAGTTAAAGTTCACAGCTGTGGCTTGAGAGACCCCCCCACCCCCGCCCCCCCCTCATTTTTTCAAGTTATCATATAATGCGGAATATAGGTTGAGGCGGAATATAGGTCAACTCCCTTACCTTGACCAGCAAAAAAAAAAAGAAAAACGCGGCATTGTTCACAAATTCACTTCATTCAGTCCTCCGAGCTGTCGGAGCTCTCCGACGACGACGACTGCTTTTCACTAGCCGCCTCCCATAGCATGTCGTCCTTAGTGCCGTCGAGAGCATTGCTGATGCAGCACTTCTTAAATGCGCGCACCACCATCTCTTCGGGCATAGACCTCCATGCCTCAGAGACCCAACCACTAACTGTCGCCAGAGGTGGCCTGCGCAGCCGGCCAGTCGGGGTCCGCGGGTTGTCGCCAGCCATCCATTCGGTATACAACGCACGCACACGGTCTTTGAAAGGCTTATTAAGGACGACGTCAAGCGGTTGCAGTGTTGAGGTCATCCCTCCCGTAATGAGGACAAGATCCATCTTTCCGTTACGAAGGCTCTCCTTCATTGATGCCGTCAAATGCCCACGAAATGCATCCAACACAAGCATGTTCCGGTGCTGCAGGAGGG